CGAAAGAGGAAAAGGCTGAAACTGATCAGTTGTGGACATTTAAAGGTACAGACGTCTGGAAATACCCCTTTTCTATCCGAGACCTGAGTGTTCACTCTTTTTCCCAGCTGTGCGCTCACCTTGGAGACGCTCTAAATTCTTAATAGTTGGCACTGATCCAAATATGAGGTCTCCTCTGTCTGACAACATTCACTTTTCAGAACACTTAACTTGCTCCGCACTGTTTGAGCAAAGCACCTTGACAAGATGAGACAGAGGTGTGGCCTGGGCACTGGCTCGGGATTCGACGCAGCTTTCCGATTTCTAATCCTTTGCTTGGCCCAGGACCCACCTGATTTCACCAAAAGCCTCGACCCTGACTCCTCAGGGGTCACGGTGGCACACAATTTAGGTCTTGCCCTCTATTAAAGGGACAGAATTAACTTTTAAAAGGGGGTGATGCAGAGGGGGAAGGGCAGCAGAGGGGGCAACCACGGGTTGACTCACTGGCCCCCTGGCCGCAGCAGAGCCCTGGGAGCAGAGGAACGGTTGTCAGAAGCTGCATGAGGTCTTGGTTTTGTTTTACAAATCTGATCTCTTAATAAGGGGTTCTTATCCTTTGGAAACACAGTGGTCCCTGGGGGCCACTCCTCTCTCCCCTTTGAAAACTTGAGTTCAGATTCTCTAAGTCGGAAGGGAAGGGTTTTACTTATATTGCAAGATCAACATCTAATAACCACTGTGGGAAAGCACCTGGATTTGGGGGATAAGCCGTGCTTCGATTTACATATCGTATGTCTCCGTGTAAGAGAAGGCTCTTACCGTTAAAAAGAAACTGCCATCAAAGGAACATTGGCTTTTTCAGATCTTTGCTGTTGATTTCAATCATGAAAGAATAATGATCAGTTTGAATTTTCTTAACTGTTTAAGGATGTACCGTAAGTTAGGCAAGCATCCTTGTCACTGCTGCCAAAGGTGGGATAAATCAAGTGGGCCCTCCCCGCCTTAGGACGGAGGAATTGGGCAGGAAGGCATCTATGGCAGGGAGAATTATTCAGCAACACCCAGCACTCTTAGCTAGAGGCCTGTCGTGGTCTTGAGGAGGCTGCAGACACTGTCTGAAGCCCGCCGACCCCGCCGTTCACTTACACATCATCTTTTCAGCAGATGTTTCATGGCTTTTGCCCCATGAGTCTTGGACAAGTACGCGGAACCCTTTCCTGACTGCCACCAACACAATTCCTACTGAGGTTTATTGCTTCTAGATGATAAAGTTTACACTAAGTTCCTATTTTGTTTTTTCAGTGCTGAAGTTTTGGCAAATACCTGAGCCAGGTTTTTCCTGTTATTCTAAAAAGTGCCCTGAAGTGCCTCTTAACTTGTGCGCCACCCACATATTACATATCCACTTATGTTCTTAGCGCTTCTGTTCTTAAAAAGCATTTCCTTCCATTCCTGTAGGTATGGTGAGGCCAAATCCACTTTTACTCCCTTTCAAGTGGAGCTTGTCCATCCTGGGTTCAGACAGCCACCACTCGCTTCTGGGAGGTCGCCTTCCTGGAAACCAAGGTGCGATCAGTAGCTGATCCTCCTCGTGGAGTGGAAGGGGGCTGGACTTAGTGGCTGGCTGACTTTAGGCGAGCAGTATTCTCATCTGGAAAAGAGGGTACCTTTCAGCAGGTTGCTTTGAGGACTCGGAGAAATTTTCAAGTACCAGGCAGAGCACATCATTGGTTCTCAACCCTGATTCCTTTCTTTTCTGTCAAAAAAGGTTGAGGGATAAGCAGTCACCTCTGACTGATGCAAGGAGGTTTATTCATCTTTCCCGAGACACTCAGATACATTCTAAACTATGCCCAGTTCAGGATGAGGACACCAGACCCCTGATCTTAACTTCCAAACAGTAATTTACCAGCCTTGAGTCAAGCTTATATTTAACCTTTAAAGTAAAAACCAAGACAAAGCAGAGAAACAGAAAACCTTCCAGTTATAGTTGGTAGGATTACTTTTTGTACTAAATGAAGGAGGTGAGCACAGAGCCTAAGACTTAGGAGGTGCCCAGATTCTTACTGACTGAATCTGCACAGCCACACGATCTCTTGGAAGAAAAAAATAGCCAAGAACTCACAGCTTGTGGAAGCTTCACGTGCCGTACAGGAAAATGCTAAATCAGAAAAGCCGACCCTGATTCAGAGTCTCTTCTTACTAGGGTTCACACTTTTTTTTTTTTTTTCTCCAGGCAGTAAGCACTGTAACCTAAGAGGGAAGAAAGACATCCACACCTTCCCCAAAGAAAAGGAAGATGGATCTAGTGTCAGGCTCCATTAGACCCACTTGTGATGGCTCTCCAAGAAGGAACAATGCAGCTTTTGTGACAGGCCTGTACAGCAAGCTTGGAAACTTTACAAAACAGTCCTACCCAAGAGAAACCTGGTTCTAGCTCTCTTCCTGGAAAGAGGTGTTGATCCAGGAAAGTTTTGTGCTATTCTTATCGGCTCTTCCTGGGATCAGTATTTAAAAAAAAACAACAAACAAAAAACCCTCAGAAACAAGTAAGACAGACCTCTGCGAAACAGGAATATGAAAAACCCCACTGCTGGCGCATTTATACACTTCCGTTTCCACAGCCCAGCCACAGGGTGTCAGATGATTTAGTTATTGTCTACCAAAGGGAGCTCTTTGCTGGAATTGTTGGTATTCAGCCCCAGTTCAGTCTAAGAACCCTCACCAGGGTTCGAGCGGCCGCCTTCTTAAAATGCAAATGTGCAAGAACTCCAGGCCGGCCTCCCCGCCCCCAGGAAAGTGTCCAACCCGGCGGCTGGCGGGGAATGCTAAGGAGGGGCCCAAGCCCCCGCCCTGCCGCACTGCTCACACTGAGCCTCAGTCCGCATGACTGAGCGCCCTTAACTTTCCCAACAATGGCCCTGGCGCCCTCCCCGCCACCTCGCAGCCTCCCCACACCCCCGTCAGGGTCAAGAAACCCATCTTTCTTCCCACTTCCGTATCTCAGGACGCATTTCTTGAACATCACCCCTAGATCTCATGTCCATGTGGAGAAAAACTGGCCACCCTGGTGAAAATGTGACTCTTACAGATCTGGTTTAAGAAGTTTCATTTTGTTCAGTTTCTTTAAATTTCCATGTTGTTGACAGTTCAGAACCAGAAGTTATATAAATCTCCATTCCAATCACATTTCTAGCAACAAAACACGTGGATGTCAGTGGTGAACCTTATACAGGATAAATTTTTCACCATGAGCACACACCACACAGGCTGCACGGAACTCTGCATCTTATACTTTGACTTCAGAGACACGAAACAGCACCTCCTACTGTGGCCTGGACCCAAACACACACTGCCTTAAAAATAATGCACAGATACAAGGCTTTTGTTTTTGGTTTTTTTTTTTTTCAAAAACATACTTCATATTTCCTCTTTTATTATATAAATATCAGTTTAACCTTTTACTGTAAGAATATAAACGTTTTAAGAGGATCTTTGTTATTATTTATACAAATTCACAAACAGTACAATTAATTGATAAAGGTCTCTGGGTTTCTTTTACTCCATGGTCTCGCATGTTGCTCTGGAGGATTCTAAAAAACAATAAACAAACCAAAACAATCCAACAAAAATGTACGTCCTACACAAAAGTGATTTTTTTTTTTAAAGCCACAAGTCCCAACCCCCATCAAAATAAAGGCATCTACTCCTCCATTTAGAAACAGAATTTTAAAAAACCCACAAACTCCCGTTTTATTAACAGAACAGAGATAAGACATGAATTTCAGTCTCCTCCCCTTCACATTTCAGCCCCGGGGGCTCTGGAAAGCTCCTCAGCTCCCAACAGGAACCCTCACTGTGTGACCTTTAAGTGGGGAAACTTGCAAGAGGGGGAGGGCAGGGCAGAATCTGCATATATAATCATCATTTTCAAGACACAATCTGCATCTCAAACAGACAGACAAAAAAAAACAAAAAAAAAAAACAGTCCAACTCTCATGTCTCCCACACATTTGTGCTATAAATTAAGTCAAGATTTAGGATCACGGCTGGGCCCTCAAATCCCTATGGACAAGGAGAAAAAGGAAAGCAGAGCCAGAATGTGAAGTGGGATACACGGGGTGGATGGGGCTTGGGAAGAAAAGGCAAAACAAAAAAGATGTACAAACCCGATGGGCATCTTTCCAGTCCAGGCACAAAAATGTTTCAGTCTCAAAATATCTCTCTTGTAGAATTCCAGGGCTTCAGAGAAAAAAGTAAACTAAAACGAGGTAGCCAGACACACACACACACACACACACACATATATATATATAATTTATATATATATATATAATATATAGACTATACTCAGCAGAAAAAAAAAGAGACCATGATGTCAACTTTCTTCAAAAAAATTTAAAAAGCAAGACAATACAAATGAAATGATCGTGGGTAGCAGAGTACTGTCAAAGGACTGATGATGAGAGACTGGGATTAGCTGCGAAGTGGAAGGAGGGTGAAAAGGCCGTTGTAGTTGGGTTTCGCTTTTATACGTTTCGAAATAAAAACCAGATCACAGTATTCAAATGAAAGCTTAAGTGAAGGCAGACATTTCCCCCAACTCCCCAGGGCTGAAAGGACTGGTCACTCCCCACCCCCGTTTCCAAATGCAGCGCGGCGGGGATACAGTAGCTCAATCCGTCCTCCAAACCCCTGCTGGAGAGTGGCTGGTGGGTGGCGAGTCCATCTCCGCATCCTCGGGGGAAAAGGAGAGGGTGTGGGTGGCGGAGGGGCCCCCGACGC